TCGAAGTCGTTTATACGGATAATAACACATTGTTATATGAATGTTCTGTAGGTTTAATAAGAGAACCGAAATATGGTCATATCAAGGACGCTCAAATCTGTTTTATGGGTCTCCTACTGTTGTAAAGCTAAGCCCCGAGATAGAGGTAAGCGTTTATACATACACCGAGAAATCTATTATGGTTACTTAGAGCTTAAGGTATTGTGCATTGCAGGCTCAAATGTGGCAGCAACCAGGAACACCGAACTGTGCAGCTTTCTTAGCCAACAATGCAACTGCTAAACCGGCTACAGTCAGTTTCAGGGGAGGGGAATATTATCTGCCACCTAAATCCATTGGTGTCCTTCCTGACTGCAAGACCATGGTTTTAAACACACAGTTGGTTAACTCCGAAACCCTTTTTTCCATCATTTGATATCTCCACTTACATGCTTGTTTAACACGAAAGTGACCACAGGGTTAAACATTATTTGATTGTTTAACACATATCACAACACAACACAACACGAGAAATATATTAAGATCAAAAGTTGCTAACAACATTGAGTGGAGGATGTACAAGGAATCCCTTCAGAGCCAATTCGTACAAGGAATCCCTTCAGAACCAATTCGAACATAAGGAAGACCGTCCATTTGAGCTCTTTTACTTGACCAAAGATATATCAGACTACGTTTGGTACTCGACCAGTGTCGATTTGAGTGAAAACGACTTACCCTTTAAAAAGGGAATCGACTGATCATTCGGGTTGCAAGCGAGGGCCATGGTCTCCTTCTCTTTGTGAATGATGAATACATGGGTTCTGGACAGGGTAGCAAAATTGAGAAGAACTTTGTGTATCAGAAAGATGCAAAGTTTGAGACTGGGAAAAATGCTGTTTTGCTGGGATATTTTTATGCGCCTGAAGGAACCAACCCAGTAGCCATTAGATTGATTGGTATGAGCAAAGGCATGGTGTGTATCAATGGAAAAAGCATTGGCCGATATTGGATGTCTGACTTGTCTATTCTTAAAGAACCAACTCAATCCGAGTACGTGTAAACCACGGTAATACGGTAAAATATAAATTGACAAGTACTGGGAATTTTTTACGTTAAAAAAATGCTCTAACATGCTGTTTTTGCTGGGATATTTTTATGCGCCTGAAGGAACCAACCCAGTAGCCATTAGATTGATTGGTATACGTGTAAACCACGGTAAATACACCGGTCGTCACATCGAGTCCCAACTAAATGCTTCGTGATTTCAGGTACCATATCCCGAAAACGTTCTTGAAGCCAACAAAGAACCTAATTGTCATATTGGAGAAAGATGGAGCCAACCCTAAGGACATCGAGATCGTAGTGATCAATAGGGACACCATCTGCAGTTCAGTAACCGAAAACCATCCTCCGTCACCTAGGTTATATGAGAACAAAAATGGTAACCTAACGGGAGAGGACGGATGACTTGAAGCCCAAGGCAGACCTAAAGTGTCCGGACGAGAAGAAGATCGTCACCGTCGAGTTTGCCAGCTTCGGGATCCATTCGGGTCTTGTGGGAGCCACTCTATTGGGAATTGTACGTCTCCAAATTCCAAGCAAGTTGTGGAGAAGTTGTGCTTGGGAAAACCGAGTTGCCAGATTCCGGTGGACAAAAAGCAATTCGACAATCAAAATGGTGCTTGTCCCGATTTGAAGAAGAAATTGGCCGTCCAAGTTTTTATTCTTTCAAATTCCTTTTTAGATGATTATCCGTCTCTCTTAACACAAACGCACACACGTGTGTATAGGGAAGTGCATGGGAACGAACCTGACGGGTTCCAACCCGACCCGATTGGATCGGGTTGAATTTTTTTGATGTGATGTTCGAGTCGGGGTAGGGTTCGAGTTTGAATTTAGGGTGAAAAATACTCGACCCTAAAAAATATATATAATTTTACCTTATATATTTAGGAATAATTACAATAATACCCCTCTATATATTATTTTTTCAATTAAGTCATTGTTTTTATTGAATAAAAATAATATTTTATTATTATTTTGGGTCAGTCGGATCAGGCTGAGTTTTTAAGTTATATATCGGGTCGGGTGAAATCTTATTTTGGTATGGTCCGGTCTCGGGTGGAGGACTCCTTATTCTCGGGTCGGGTCGGGTGGACCAAAAACCCGACCTAACCCATGCTCATCCCTACGTGTGTATACATGTAACTATATAATCAATTTCAATCATTTAGATAAAGCTAAAACAACTTTTTTTAAAGTTAATTATCTCATACGTCCTCAAACTATAATCCTTTTTTAAATTGGCCTCTAAATTTCTAAATGTTATAATTTTAGCCGTAAACTATGACTATTATTTTAAATTCCCCCTCAAACTTTTGAATATTTTAGTTTCACTTCCAAACTATATCCTTCATTCCAAATTGGTCCCTAAACTTTTTCAACATTTCAATTTCATCCCAAATTATATGTATATACTAATCACATTTCATGTTAATAAAATTGTTAGGCCAAACTATATTATTATATGTTTTTAAGAAGTGAAGTTTAGGTCAAACTATGGTTAAAATTATTTACATATTTGGATGAATTTAGGGATAAAATTAGAGTATTTAAAAGTTTAGAGATCAATTTAAAATGAGGGTCATAGTTTGAGAATGAAATTGAAATATTTTAAAGTTTAAGGGCTAATTCAAAATGAGTATCATAGTTTGAGGATAAAATTAGAATATTTAAAAGTTTAACAACCAATTTAAAATTAATATTATAGTTTGAGGACATATGATGTAATTAACTATTATTTTAATTTCATTTTTTCCATAATTTGAAGGATTGTATTCTAGAGAAGAATGAACCAGTTGGGAGTGCGGTCAAACCTTCTGAAATTTTAGTTCTCTTATAATTTTTTATATATGTTTCATTGATTATCTAATTCTACACTCATTTTTTGATAAACAAAAAAATAATAATTTAACTAATGCATCTAAATGCTTCCTTCCTCTTAGAGAAGCACTTGATAGATGTGTTTAATTTTAACCTCCTAATCTCTCTTTAACAAGCTCCATATGTGACGGTGCAATGTGATAGGTTTGTCCCCATCATTTCCTCTCTATAGAATATTCCTTACATCTATGTTATTGACAACTCTCTAAAAGAGTTATTATTTTGGATATTTTTACTTAGGTTGAGCTTAAACTTTAGTATCATTAAGGTCATATTAAAATCATATTATGATTAATTTTATATATTTTTCATCATTAGCATCGTGGGAGTAATTTGGTGGAGTATGGGTTGATTTTAATGTTTTATGCTGAAAATTGGTATACTGATGTTGTGGCATTACTTGAATCTACAGGTGATGATGTATTATGATACTACGCTGAATTGCTTAACAGAACTTGCAGCAATTGGTGACTCAGTAGACAATTATAAATTTTTTTAAATTCAGACAGCGTTCCAATACAACTGTAAAATGGCTGGAAAAAATATAAGAAAAAACATATTTTTCCTATTGGAGGATGCTTTGACATGTTGGGCTTATAAATTTGGTCTTCCTTCACACTTTTCAGAAGGGTATTTCTTTATCTCCTATATTTTCTCCCCCACGATGGCAACCTAGTCTGTTTGTCGAGTAGTGCATCAACAACATTGGAGCAATTGTGTAGTAATGGTGGCCGATCGGGGTTCAACTTTACTTTTTGGATTTGAACTTGAGAAAGGGAAAACATTATTGTGATGTTGAATGTTTAATTTTATTGTTTAATTGGGTATCAAACATAAGGTGTTAGATTAAATGCTTAGATGATGATTTTATTTAAACTAGGTTTTATGAGCCGCATTTATATATGATGTTTTATTAGAGATAATAGCATTTTATAGTATGTGATTTAATTATTTTTAGAGATAAAAATAATTAAGTTTGCATGCTAGCTTTGCCCCAATATGTGTTTTACGAGAGTAAGCAAATTCTTATAAAGATATAGGATGCCTATGTTTTGCTTTATTAATTATGAACCTATGAATTTTTAATGAAAGTTAGAAAATAATAGGTTAAAAGTTATAAAATAATAGGTTAAAAGTTAATCATTGCATAACTCGTGAAATATAGTGCTATAGCAAAATCATCTTACTAGCAGTTAAGTAGGACAATATCTTAAGTCTATCAGTCTAAAAGCTCTATTGTTTGCTACAACATTCCCTTATTTTTATAATATTGACATTCTTATTTTACTTTCTGTTTGCCAATCACTAAATCCATCTTTTCTTGAACTCTACTGTAATCAGTTTTGCTCCCTGTGAGATTCGACATCAATAACAATCTTGTTACCACTTTATTACTTGTATGACAGTGTATGCTTGTACTTTTGCTATAACATTTACATAGCATCAAGTTTTTGACGATGTTTCCAGGGAGCATCAGTTTTACATTACATTTTGTTTTATTATTTACTTACTTGTTTCTTTTCTTTTTGTAGGAACTTTTCATTTTTATTAGTTTTTTTGTTTTATGTATTGTGGCGACAATGAGCTAATCGAATAGAAGCTAACCGAGAACACATGCCTAGATAAGACAACATTGCTTTACCTCCGCTGTAGCTCATAGATGATGCTGAATTTTCGACTGCCAATGGAGTTTTACAACAATAGTTTTACAACATGGATGATCGTAATCGGCCTATTCGAGAACATGTGGTCCCAACACTCAATGACTTACATCCTGGCATTGTGCTGCCAATTTTGAGCTCAAGCCGATTATATTTCAAATGTTGTACTCAATGGGGCAATATAGTGGGGCATTTACCGAAGATCCTCGACCACATCTTCGAGCTTTCATGGAAGTTTGTGATTCATTTATTCAACAAGGAGTTCCTGACAAGGCACTAAAGTTGAAGTTGTTTCCTTACTCGTTGTGCGACAAAGCTAGATATTGGTTGACATCTCTGCTACCCGATGATATAGCATATTGGAATGAGCTAGCACAAAAATTTATGATGAGATTCAACCCACCTAACATGAATACCAAACTCTGGAACGACCTTACTTCCTTCAAACAGTTAGAAGATGAGAGCTTATACGAGGCGAAAGAAAGATTTAAGGACTTGATGTGAATATGTCCAATGCACGGATTTCCATATTGGACACAAATGAAATGTTATACAATGGGTTGAACATGCACACTGAATGGTGATTGATGCATAGACAAATGGGTCATTATTGGATAAGACGTACAATGAAGCTTATGATATTCTGGAGAGAATATCAACCAATGACTACCAATACCCCAATATGAGGAACATGTTTGGCAGATGCAATGTTGTAGCAGTGGATTCAAATGCTTTCAAATATATGGCCTCTCAATTCTCAACATTGACGGATAAGGTGAAAAAACTACAAAAGCCAAGGAGAATCTTTGTGTCAAAAGTCACATCTAGTGTTTCTTGTATTTATTGTGGAGACAATCACAATTATTAAGAATGTCTTCAAAACCCCAAGTCTATTTTATATGTGAGGAATTGCAATAGGAATGACAATTCCTATTGCAACACTTACAATGCCAATTTTTGAAACCATCATAATTTGTCTTGGAGGATCCAAAATTTTGCCAATCCATAACAACAACATTACATTCAACTAGAACAGTACAATCAATAGAAGACAATGACATAGCCTCAAATACCGCATCAGGCTACGTAGGGTAGAGAACTATTTCAATTACCCACATCCTCTAACCTTTGGGTGTCTAACTAAAGTAATATCATATAAGATATGTAAACATTTTTCTTTTAATCTTACTCAAGTAAATTAAAGTAAATAATATTTGATCATAATCACATGTTTGAATTTCTAAAAATCAAGTATGAATGTCGTCAAATTAGAAAATCCTTAAAAAATGTCATTTATGACTTTGTCTCTTAAAATGAAATAGTCTTTTCTTAATTTTCTCGAAAAAAATCAATAATTAGGGATATTATAAATATACAATCATTTGTTTTTCCTCAATTCTAGGAATGTAATAATAGAAATTTAATAATTACAAGGTTTTTAATAGTATTATCAATTACATTAATCAAATATTAACTTTGAAAAGATCATTAACAGTTCAACTACTATGACCAAAAGTCTTATCTCAATAAGGTTATCAATTTTCATTCTTTAATTTTCTCTAAGTTACGAAGTGTATATAATGTTATAATGTTTTATGAATTGAGGTCAACATAGAAATGAATAGTGCACCAGATAGGTGTTCGAGAAATGAGAAGTGATGCCCTGGGTACATTTAAAAACCAAATCTTTTCCAAAATCAATCATAGATGCACTTTACTCTATCACACTATTTTTAAATCAATTATTTATAAATGTCTCGAAACAATTTATACTTAATAATTTGTATTCATAATTAAGCATATAATAGAAAAATCTTCAACTAATCATTTAATTTAGCCTTGGTCTTTAAAAAATATGAATTGACTCGTACTATATAAATCTAGCCCTTTTAAAGACTTTCAAAAATATAATACAACACATAAAAATTTATTGTTTGTATTTTTTACCACACTTGAAATTAATATATAATTCTAAAAATAATTATATTTATAAAATAATGTATAACATTAAGAATATATCTCTCTATATTTAGACATTTTTTATAGAATTAATATATAAATTGTCTATTTTTTTATGAACTATCAAATCGTTGACTTTGTGATACCGACATACGAAGCAACCTCTACCCAATTAGTGAAATAATTGATAGCCTCCAGAATGAAGCGATGACCATTGGAAGCCTTTGGTGAAATTGCTCCCATGACATCCATGCCCTACATAGAAAATGGCAACGGTGCAGTCATTACATTCAACTATAATGGAGGCACATGAATTCTATCCGCGTAAATCTGGCAGTTATGACATCGTTTCTCATATCCAATACAATATGTTTCCATGGTAGACCAATAATACCCATATCTCATTATTTTTATGGCCATAAAAAGGTCGTTTGCGTGTGTTCCACATATCTCAATATACACTTCTTCAACAATACTTCGTGCCTTTTGAGAATTAATACATCTCAACAACACTTGATCATTGCCCTTTATGTACAAAATTTCACCATTGAGGATATATCCTTCAGCCTTTCTTTTAATTATCGTCTTATCGATCTCAAACGCCTATTGTGGATAAGTTTGATACTTAATATATTGTAAAATATCATAATACCATGGACGATCATTTGCCTTCTCTTCTAGACTATAACAATGTGCCGGAGTTTTATAAACTTGCATAAAGATTGGCATCATATCGTCCTTTTTTGTGGTTTTAAACATTACAGCCAATGTAGCCAAGGCGTCTGCATTTCTTCTTCCTCTATGGGGAGAAAAACAAAAGCGACTTCTTCAAATTCTTTTATTAACTCAATGATCAAATTTTGATATTCAATCAACTTGGAATCCTTTGTTTTCCATTCACCTCGCAACTGATACACCACTAACGAGGAATCTCCATATACTTTCAACACTTTTATTTTTCTTTGCAAGGCTGCTCTTAACCCCATAACACAAGCCTCATATTCTGCCATATTATTTGTGCATAAAAATTGTAATCTACCTTTAAACAAATAATAAACATTCTTTGGGGAAATTAGTACTACCCCAATTCCTCTTCCTAATGGATTGGACGCTTCATTAAAATACATCTTCCATGATTCATTACTTTCAACATCTTCTTTCTCGACAGTGATACACAAAAGATCTTTGTCGGGAAAATTAAAGTTCAAAGACTCATTATCATATAAGGCATGACTTACGAGGAAATCTAATATAACTCTTCCTTTTATTATTCTCTGGCTCACATAAATAATGTCAAATTCTGACAACAACATTTTCCACCAAGCCATTCTACTAGTTAAAGCTGGTGATTCCATCAAGAACTTCAAAGGATCAAGTTTGGATATTAACCATGTGGTATGATACAACATTTACTACCTTAACTTCCGGGTCATCCACACCAAAACACAACACAAATTTTGGATTAACATGTACCTAAACTCACAATCAATAAACTTTTTGCTCAATTAATAAATCTCTCTTTCTTTCTTTCCAAACTTATCATGTTGCCCTAGAACAAAACCTATTAAATTGCCAAACACTAATAAGAATAAAATAAATAGTCTACTAAGAACTGGCACGACTAAGATCGGAGCATTTGACAAATATCTAGGATTGAAGATAGATCAACGTTGTCATTTTTTCTCGATTCTATCACAATATAAGGTAGATCAACACCCTTGTTATGTTTGATTCTATTACAATAGAAGGTAGATCAGCATCAGTTGTTTGCTCGTTTTCATCATAGAAAAAGGTGGAACAACATTACCTTTATGCTTTTTCCCATCACAACAGGAGTTGTCAGCACTGTTTTGCTCGACTCCAGCACAATAGGAGATGGGTCAACATTAACATTTTATTCATTCATCACACTAAGAGGTGGATAAACATGATCATTTTGCTCAATTCTATCACAGCATGAGGTAGATCAACACCCCGTCGCGTTAAATTCTATCACAACAAGATGTAGATCAGCATTAGCCTTTTATTCATTTCTATCATAGAAGGAGGTGGAACGACATTACCCCTGTACTTGATTCCATCACAAAACAAGTTGAATTAGTACTCCATTTTGCTTGACTCCATCACAGAAAGAGGTATGTTAGCATCAATATTTGTCTGATACCATCATAATAGGAGGTGAGTCAACATTATCATTTTGCTCGATTTCACCACATAATGGGTGAATCAACATGTTTGACATTGTTTGGTTTTATGAAAGAATAGAGGGTTATTATAGAAGGTTTCGTCAGTTCTATTCAAGATAGTTATAAAATGAGAACATGTTGTACAAAAGGGTTTGTTCGACCTTATATGGATTTTTGTGGGTTCGTATGGGAAACCTTTTTTGTTCTGCCCAATACAGTTAAAGATTGAGAAGAATTTGTATTTAGTGTTGACTCTTACCAGAGTTTGAAAGGTTTGCAGGTGAAAAATATACAACTTGGTGATAATGGTTGGTCGGATAAAATTTGTTCTTTTTGTTTTTACTTCATTCCCATTCCACAACAATTAGCAAATAAGGGCAACTTTCATCACCCATTTTATATCGGTGATTGTGGCATTTTTTAAATGGGCCTTATGGTTATATATATATATATATAATTTTAAATATAGTTTTTAATTTTTTTGTTAAATATAGTATTAGTATAACTTTCGTGGAACAAATATAGCTGTAATTTTTAAGTATAATATTAGTATTAGTATGTAGTCTTGTAAATATAATAAAGATATGTAGTTTTTGTGTTAAATGTGCAGTCTTTCATTAGTATTACATATTAAATACATATTATATGATATAAGTTTTTCCTATTATATAGAATTGATGTGCATATTAGTTATATATTGTGTATTAATTTGATGTGCATTTAGTATTCATATTAATTACAATATAGTTTACATGTTAGAATATAGAATATTAGTATAATAATAAAGTCTATTATGTTAGCCCATTTTACTTTATAAAAATAAACCCATTTTACAAAATAAATACCAAGCCCACTTTTTAGCCCAATATACATTGAATTACAAAAATAAAAACTCCTTTGGATTCCTCTTTGCCGCCGGTTTTGGTAAAGTGATAGGCCCCTCTTGGTTTGATTCATTAAATGGAATGTTGGTCCACAAAATGCATGCAGTTATCTACGACATAAAGAAAGATTGCATCTGAATCAAAAAAGTAATATTGCATCTGAACCATTGATGGAAAAATATAATCCAATGATCAGGAAAACGCCATATCACCATCAGAGTTTCTGGGAGTATCACCGGCGCGTGAGATCCACGCACGACCCTATGTTTTCTCCAGTTATCGGTACGTCTCCGTTTTGCACATGCATCACCAAAAATAACAAGAAACACGGGAAAATATTGGATAACCGTGAACAAGCAAACTAAATAAATTTTTAGATTAGTATAAATATTCATCATTAGTGTAGACACCCATTTTTTGTCTAGCGTTCATTACTAATAGTTATTATCATTATATTATTATTATTATTATTATTATTTTTCATCTACAGGTTAC